ATTGCCACTGTGCTGTAAGAGAATAACTTCCAACCTAAAATTTCCTAGTCAGCAAAGAGTTTATTCTAAAACAGGGATGGAAGAGCTGGGCATGATAGGATTGCAAGTTCTAGCCCAGCCAGGGCAGTTTAGTGATTTAATGCTCCCCAAAATATAAAAAGGATAGGGGATATAGCTCAGTGAGAAAGCCCAGAGTTCAAATCCCACTCTAAGGTAAAAAAAAAAAAAAAAAGATTCATGAAGTGACTATTAACTTAGTATTTGAATTCTGAACACCTTCCCAAAGGAAATGAACGAATGCATCCAATCACAAGGACCTTTGCAGAATGTTCAGAGCAGTTCCAGTCATGATGGCCCAGGCTGGTACAACCCAGATGTGTGTGTGCCTGTGACTAGGAGCTGGAGGCCCTGAGTTCAGCAGCAGCAGGCCGGATACACAAGCTGATGGATGTATCCAGTGGAATGCAACTCATAAATAAGAGATTGCTGATAAATGCAAAGCATGGCAGAATCTCAAAGCGGGACAAGTGAAAGGAGCCAGACGTACAGTATTAGTGTATTTACATGAAGTTAAAGAACAGACAAAACTGATCTGTGACAGTGGGAATGAGATAATTATTGCCTCTACTAGGGGGAGGGTAAAGGAATAGGAGTAAATTTATGGAGGTGATAAAATATTCTTTGTTTTATGTTTCTTTATTTTAATCTGGTAATGGACGGAATATATTTGTGTGGGTTTTTTTCAATTTTATTTTTTGTCTTTTTGAGACAAGGTCGTGCTATGCAATTCAGGCTGGCCTTGAACTCAGGTTGTAGCCTAGCCTGGTCTCGAACTTGCAACAGTCCTCCTGCCTCAGCCTCTGGGAGTGCTGGGATTACAGGTGTGTGCCACCATGCCCAGCTATGTGGGTTTTTTTTTTTTGTCTTTTTTGAGGCAGAATCTGGCTATGCAGTTCAGGCTGGCCTTGAGCTCACTTTGTAGCCCAGGCTGGCCTGGAACTCCCAACCATCCTCTTACCTCAGCCTCCGAAGGAATATATTTGTACTTGAAATCTACATTTAAACCAGGTGTTGCACATGCCTGTAATTCCAGCACTCTCTCGGAGGTTGAGGCAGCAAGATCACTGTCATTTGGAGGCCAATCTGGGTAACACAGTGAGTTCAAGGCCAGCCTGGACTACAAAGCTAGATTCTGTCTTCAAAACAAAACAAAACAAAACAAAACAAAACAACCTCCCACTTTTTGCTGTACTAAATAAATTAAAGTACTTTGAAGAATCACACAGCAATAGAAAATAATTATGGAGAAAGTAACAGTGATAAGCAGAATTAAATTATTCCTCGGTTTTTCACAAGCAGGGTGGAAATTAGGTCTTGCTAAGTCAAGCGTGCATGTAATTTTTAGGGTAACTGCTACAAGTAGAAAACAGCTGCAGCTTCCAGTTAATGGAGGAAGAAACTGCAACTACTGCTAGAGGACGCAGAGGGGAGGAGAGGAAACAGGAGGGAGGAAGGCGCAGAACAAAACAACCTGGGGTCACGGGTGAGCGGAATCCGCGTGGGTGGAGGTGTGGGATGTAGAAATCATCCAGTGTTTCAGAGTGAGCAGCAAAGAATTGGAGAGAGACTTGGCTACAACCACAGGTCCGGTGCTCCTTTCTCTGCCTCTTCCCTGGCTGTTTTGTGAGTTGTGTCCAAATACTATGTTAGTTTCCTCACCGTTTGGGTTTTTGTTGGTTTGTGTTTTTTTTTCAGACAGGGACTCGCTGTGTAATTCAGGCTGGGCCCGAGCTCGCAGCGCCTCAGCCCCCCTAGTGCTGGGGTGACAGGCGCGCGCCACCCATTTGGGGGCTTATTGACTGACCAATTGATTGACTGAGATGAGACAGGGTCTCGCTATGCAGTTCAGGTTGGCCTTGAACCTATTACAGAGCACGGGCTGCCCTCGAACTGATGACGATCATCCTGCCGCAGCCTCCCAGCTCTGGGGTTACAGGCGCACACCGTCACGCCCCGTTCAGTCCGTTCGGTGTTTTAAGTACCGATTTATCAATAACCTTCCTTGTCTGAAATCGACTTCAGCCTCAGGTTTCCAGACGTGTAGTGTTGTTTGCTAAATCCCTTTCTAATCCCTTCTATGTAGGCTGATAGTGGCAAAAACAGCTGTTAAAGGTTAAAATTTTGACTGAGAAAGCAAGAGGAAAGAGGCATGAATCTAGTGAATATTCGCTGTGTGTATTTTGGTCCGGCGGACGAAACAAAAACATTGGCACTCCGATAGCAGAGGATGGTTTCGATCCATCGACCTCTGGGTTATGGGCCCAGCACGCTTCCGCTGCGCCACTCTGCTACCTGCGGTAAGAAGCGCTCCGAAGTCGTATATAAAGTCTTTGTGTGTTCATAGCCCTGCCTGCTGCCTTCAGCGCCCCTTAGTGTCTGATCAAATATTGCCATTAGAGTTAAACCTGTTTTTATTGGCTAGTTCCTGACTCAGTAGGCGTTTTTAATTGGTTCCTAAACCCAGTTTGCCAAAGTAAGCCAATAGACACAGAGGGCGGAGTGAGGCGGGAGCCAATCGGGCCCGGTTTTATTGGGACACTCCGGCGAAGCACTTCGGTGGCCTGCTTTTCTAAAGGAAGGGCGGTTAGTGCGGCCTCCATTGTTCGAGATTAAGGGCGCCATGAGGTAGGGGGCTGATGTGCTGCAGAGGTTTCTCCGGAGACTGGGAGGGCGGGCCGAGGGGAGTCGGAGGGCCAAAGGCGGTGCATCGGGGGCCGCCGAGGACCCCGGGCGTGCGCTGGGCCGGCGGCGGCGGCGGC